CAGCCCCGAAAAACCCACAAAATACTATAGAGCTAGCTTTTTATCTTTATGGATTGCATTTTCTGTTGCCCTTGGTTGAATATGTTTATCACCTCTAAAAATTTTGGAGGACTCGAGGGGCCGTTGGGTAGCCCAGCCTGTTCACCCAACAGGCCCGTATAACTGTCAACGGCTGCCCTTGAAGCTGACAAACCGTTCAATAATTATTATTGATATTGCGTCCTATTTATTATATCGTAAACTCAGGCAGCAATTACAGAAAACAGCCTTCAGGAGTTCCATCTCCAGCCATTAATTAAGGCTAAAAGAAGCTACTTAATCATAAAAAGAAAGAGAGAGAGAGAGAACTGGAAAGGAGAACTCCGGGGCTGTAAAAACTCCTCCAACAACAATGATAAAAAGACCTTGTTTGCAGAGAGAGGAAAGGTTCCCATAAATGGTTATGTGTCCTTGCTTCACATTTACACTCAGTAGTTGCTTTTCTTGAGCCTACATATCGATTCGGACATCTATAGGACAATGCATTTTGTTGCTCCTTCAGCAACTGTCTCTTTCCAAAACTGGGAATGTGTTTTGCATCTGGGGCTGGATCATATTTCAGAGGTTCTCAGATCCATGTGGCTAACCCAGAAATGTTACCTTTTTTTTGGATGGCAATGCCCAGAATCCCCAACCAGTAGCCCTGGGAGTTATATTACTCTGGATTCTGGGCACTATATTACTCCAAAAAGGAAAGTTCTCTCAGCTCAGTCCATGGATTGCAAGGCTTGGAGGAGCCATTTTGAATTTTTGCAGTAGAACATGACTCCCAAAGTTTAGTCTTCCAGATGTTTTTTAGACTTCAGTTCCCAGAATTCCTGACTGTTGACCAAGCTGCCTGGGGATTCTAGGAGCTGCAATCCAAACACCTGGAGGACTAAAATTTGGAAATCCCTGATATAGAGCCAGCATGGCATAGTGGTTTGAGTGTTGAACTATGACTCTTGAGACCAGGGTTTGATTCCCAGCTCAGCCATGAAACCCACTGGGCCACCTAGTCCAAGTCACACACTCTCAGCCTCAGAGGATGGCCATGGCAAACCTCTGAACAAATCTTGCCAAGAAAACCCCAGCATAGGATTGCTTTAGGAGTGGTATAAGTCAGAAATGACTTGAAATCATACAAAAACAACAGGATAAACCATCATATTGCTCTGATTCCACTTTAGACTGTCATGGCAATGTCGTATGCAATCTAAGAATCTGCAGTTTTATTTATTCTTATTTATTAATAGAATTTATATGTTGCATTTGGACAAGTGTGGCAACAGGATATAACAGGCTTGGGAGGGGGACCTTAGGCTGCATCTGCACTGCAGAAATATTCCAGGTTGGTACTACTTTTGGTTGCTATGGCTCACTGCTATGGAATTCTGGGATTTAAAGTTTGATGAGACATTTAGTCTTCTCTGTCAGAGAGCTCTGGTGCCCCAACAAGCTACAAACCCCAGGATTCCATAGCGATGAGCCATGGCAGTTAAAGTGGTGTCAACCTGGATTATTTCTGAAGTGCGGATGCAGCCTTGGAGTTCTCAACCAGAGGGTTCTCCTGTCTCTCCAATCTTCAAGCCCTAGGATTCCTTGGGATGCAGCCATGGCAGCTAAACTGGAACAATAGTGCTATAACTGTGCAGTGTGGAAGGGTGAGTAATTATGAATATTCTTTCCACTCGTCTGATATCTATAAAGAAACAACAGTTGCACACAAACAGAGGAAAGGAAGAAAACAGCTGCTCCTGCATCGTACATCCTACCTTTTGACTGGAACTTTTTCCCATCGAGATTATAAAGGTTTCTTCTTTTCTTGAGGGAGAGAAACACGCGTAGACAAGAGATGGGCATGCATAAATAATTTACCAAGCTGTAATATGCTGTAAATAACAAGCCTCTTGAATAATGAATTAACCCAACTGCTGATTCACAGGTAAATATCTCTACTTGTAAAGTAGAGGTTTTCTTCTTTTATGGACTCCGCTGCCTCTGAATACTTGGTCCTGGGATTTGTAGAAGTGGC